AATTCATTCTTATAGTACTTATATTTTATCAATTTAATAGTAACTACACATAAAACCTTATCTCTCTCTAGGGTTGTAATGATGAGCGGTCGTTGCCAGTGGGCTCAGGCGTACAAGGTTTCTTCTTCCGCCATCAATTGTACGCCCATTTTTCTTCCTTTGCTTTGGCGAGATTAAGCGGAGGGAAGAGGATGCTTGGTCCGATGGCCAAAGATTGTGCATGGATGGAAGACAGATACTTGGTCTCTGACGACCAAAGGTCATGGACAAAGCATGGGGCTAGAGGCTGGAACAGATCTGGATTCGAGGTCATCCGTGTTAGGTGACGACAAAGAAGACTTTGTAGAGAACATGATGAATAAGAGGCAATGTGAGGAAGAAGCTACAATACTGCTGAATTGTCCCCTCCTGAACCGCCACCATGGAATGCAGGAGAGTCTAGGGTCTGGAAGCAGCTTTTTAATTTTACTGTTTGCTTTATTTTTCATGATCAGACTGTTTATTTCTTTGTTGGTTACTTTTATTGTTGTAAGACTCTTGCATTAGGATTGGGTGATGGGAGGTATGCTTTAACCGTCATTGGCTCATTTATGCCCATCATACGATCAACGAGTTATATTGCTTTTTTGAAGGTGATTAACTCTAAATTTGATTCAAGGGCTGACGATTACATGTGGTCCTTTAGTCGTTTTACTCCCTCTTAGCTCTATGTTAGGGGGAAGTGAAAGTAATGAATTCAAGTAAGGTGGAGATCACTTATATGACTGAATTTGACAGAATTTATTGTGATGAGTCATTCTATCTATCTATAATATAACTTCTTTTGATTTTATATATATAATATATTTTAAATGTTATTTCATTAATTTGATTATGTTAATTTAAATGCTACCAAATGAAGTACTCCATAGACCATAGTGTAGTACCCCCGTACTACGCTATGTTTAAAAAACCGACCCGACCCGGCCGGGTTGACCCAGAACCCGGTGACCTGGACAAAAATCCGGTTCAAAAACCGGAAAACCCCGACTGACCCGAAAAAACCCGATCCGGACCCGACCCAAGAAACCCGAAAAACCCGGGAAAACCCTGTTTTCGGTCTTTTCCAAAAAAAAAGGTAATTTATTTTTTAATTTTAATGCATTTTTTAAACCAATAAAATTGCAATTTCAATTCCCTAAAAAGAAAAACTATGTAATATATTTATATATTTATTTAAGAATGAAAATCATGCCAAATTATAATATAAATATACAATACAAATAAAAATATATAATGACAATGTATATAATTATATGTTTATTATTATATAGACGTATAATCGTTGACCGGTTTTCCGGCTTTGACCGGGTTGACCCTCCAGGTCCGGGTTGACCCGTGACCTAGTTGCATGACCGGGTTGCTCACCGGTCCGGTTTTTACAACATAGGTACTACGTAATTTATTGGATGAATGGTGAACACGCGGCAGATGAGAAGGTGAATTGAGCAGGTAAGATGTTTGGAAGATGGGAAGTGAACCATAACGAAAAGAGGGTACAATGGTGCACATGAGAGTCTACACACCAAAGGACAGTGAGGAGATAGATGTGTACGGAATGGGTGTACCAAACGCTCACTGTACTTATGACTGAAAAGGCAGGCCAGGTCAGAGTCCTCCACAAATTCCACACCAAGTAACAAGATGCGATCTAAGCAAGATGCTTGTCTTGTTCTTCCATAGTTGGATTATTCCTTATAGACATCTATTGCTCGTTACTCCTCCAATAATAGAAATATTTCCTCTTCCATACTTGCATGATGGTGATTAATTAAGAAAAATGTAAATAAATGTCCCAAAAAATTTCAAACACGAAAATGATAAGAATTTTCCGAACATCCCAAAAATGACAAGTAGGAAAAATTTAATGGGACGGAGGGAGTAATTTATTATTCTGCCCATCTCATTATTTCTATTATACTCCTTACTATTTTATTCATATGTCTCACTAAGAGCACGTTTGATAATACTGAAATTGACCGAATCGGTTAAATTTGATAAAATTGATTAAGTTTTGGCTATATCAATTGAATTGTTTGAATTTGTTTGACGCTGCAAGATTATACTACTTCCGTCCCTAATAAAACTTCCAAATGGATTGGGCACACAGTTTAAGATAGTGAGTATTGTGTGGTGGGGAGTTGTGCAAAAGAGAGAAATGTGTAAGAAATGTTGTGAACCACAAATTCTTTACCAAAAAGGGAAAGTGGAAATTTTAATTGGGACAGACGTAAAAGGAAAGTTGGAAGTTTATGTAAGGTATTAGAGACTGTATAACCAAGTTTTTCTTAATTTATTTTTAGAAACACGTTTCTTAATTTATTTTTGGAAACGCATCCTAGTTGTCTTGGGGTTAGGATTTACTTCTCTATAAATACAAGCTCCCCCCCTTGTAATCATGTGTGTGGATCCGAAAATAGCAATAATATTCCTGGCTTGGTAGCTGTAACACTTGAAATTTAATAGCACTACTCATACCAACAAGATGCATCTCCCTTTAAGGGAGCTCATCACCAAAACCTCCAAAGTTAAGCGTGCTTGCACGAGAATAGTTCTGGGATGGGTGACCCCCTGGGAAGTTTCTCAGGGTGCGCATGAGTGAGGACATTATGTATTTAGGAAGTTTCTAAGTTTTCTCAAGGTGCACAGAGTATCAAATAAAATATTCAAAAAATAATAATAAAGGAGTATATGATACAAATATTGCATTGTAATATTCACAATTTTATTCAAATGAATCATGTAAAAAATATAAATCCAATCTGCTATTCTTATCGCCAAACTTAACGAATACAAATAAGTCGTATTAACTAACTTTGTCATAATGAATATATGAAATTTGTAAAAGTTAAAATGATATATGTTATATATGTATTTTCATGTCTAAATGATTTATTTATATATTAAAAATGAAGAGTGAAAATAAATACAAAGTGTATATACATATATTTATTTATAAGTTGTTCGGTGTTCAATTTACGATTTTTTGGTTTTAAACCAAACCAAACCAAACCATTCGGTTTGAGCAAATTCTTACCAAACGGTTTACTTGAGTAAACCCAAACCAAATCACCAATATTCGGTTCGGTTCGGTTCAGTTTGGTTAAACCAAACCATTTTGCCCACCCCTCTTGAACCAATTTACATACACGGGTTAGGGCTACAATTTTATTAAATATGTCCAGCCTGTCATTAATAAATTTATAAAATCACACAAAATACCTTTAAATTTTAAGATATACTACCTCTGTCCTTTTTATTTAGCAATATTTTATTTTTCAGACAAAGATATTATGATAATATTTTAACAAAGAACATTTTCATATTATCAATATTACTGTGTATAAATATATAATCATTCAATGTATACGTTCTTTGACTTGAAAAGTTAAATTTAACTAGAAAAAAGTGGATGGAAAGAGTATATAATTTATTCATATAATTTATAAGTTATCGATATGCTCGAGTCTGGATCGAACTGAATATGACTATGCTCGAATTCGTCTTGAATAACTATTAAAACTCAAAATCTAGCCCATGTTCAAGTTCGAAGCTCGTTTATGGCATACATGTGAGAGGGGCCTTTTGGCCTAAATATTACTAAAAATAAGATAAAAGACAAAAAAGAGATGTCTTTTTAAAAATTCCAAAAATGTGACAACATCCCTGCAGTTCATAATGACTCCAGCAAAGTGACTCCAACGGCCACCGGCCACAGTGATTGTACACCGGCCACCGTGACTGCCCACCGGCCACCGTGACTGCCCACTGGCCACCGTGACTGCCCACCGGACACGGTGACTGCCCACTGACACAGTGACTTGCTGCCACAGTGACTCCGTTGCCACAGTGACTATGCCGCTGGTCACCGCCAAAGTGACTCCTTGCCACAGTGACTTCATTCGCTGCCACAGTGACTCCGTCCCAATAGTGACTCCAGCCAAAAGTGATGCCTACAAAACCAGCCGCCAATCCCAAAAGTTAGCCCCATCCTCCGCCGCTCAACAACACCAGCAACCAGCCCTGGCCCTAACCTCCAGCACCAACAAGTCATCCCCGCACCAACAGTGCCAGAATCGGCCACAACCCCCCCCCCCCCCCCAGCTCTAGCACTGGTCGCACACAACCATCGCTTACTGCCGCAGCCATAAGTTGTCCACTATTTGCCCATAGACGAACTGATAAGTCCATTTTTGTACTTATTTTTCTTATCAAATTTAAGCGATTTTTGATTGAAAATAGAAAGAAAAGGCATGTTTTAGATATTTTGGTTCAAGTTTCATGAAATCAGGTGAAAACCACATTCATCGTATGTTTGTCGGAATTTCGGGTCAATTGAGCACAAAATGAGCCAATTTGAGCAACAAATGATATCATACCGAAAGAAGGAGACATTATTTCAAGGTGGTCCAGAAGACAATATTGAAGAGCACAAAATAAGGAACAAGCCGGACAAATAATCTCAAAGGCGGCCGTGCAGGCGGCCAAAATGAAGGCCTTCGCGGCCGCCTACGGTATTTTTGGAAAGTCAAACCTTGACTTTGACCGGATTCGGAAAAGACCGTAGGCCGCCGACACTGGACGGAAGGCGGCCGCCTACGGTGACCGCCTGCGGCAGAAGACGACGAAGCAACCGCCGGCCGGTGGGATTTGACGGCAGGCGGCCAGACAGGAACGGCAGGCGGCCGCCTGCTGGACCGCCTGCGGCGGCCGGGATCCGCCGGGACCCGCCGCGATCCGATTTGCTTACGAAAAGACGGTAGGCGGCCGGTTTTCATGGAAGGCGGCCGCCCTCTGTGGCCGCCTACGGCGGACGGAGACCGGCCCACGATGGATTGCCGGCGAAAAGACGGCAGGCGGCCAGATGCCGACGGAAGGCGGCCGCCTGCTTGGGCGCCTTCGGGATTTTTTCTGCTATAAAAACCAGGCTTTTTCCTCAAGCCAAACACACCACTTCCAACCCTAAATCAGTTCAAAACACCCTCTTTCTTCCTCCATTTTCGAGCTCCAAAGGGTTTAGAGAGAGAGAAACTTCAAATCTTCATATCTTCTTCATTTTAGCTCCAAATTGTAAGTTCTTTATATGTATTTTCATCTTCTCAACGAGTAGAATCTGAATCTGCACTTTGTTTGTTCAATCTGTTCTTCGAAAATTTCCAGATTATTTTTCAAGTATTTCGCATTTCCTTCCAAAAATTAAATAAAATAGTTATTGTTGTTGAATTCATTCCAATTAATTATATAGTTGTTCACTAGCCTCAAGGTAGTTATTTATCTGAAGAAATTAATTTTTCACGAAGCATAAGTAATTTTTAATTAATTTTGGTAATTAATTGATATTAGTTCATAATTTAGATTAAATACTAGAAAAAAAGAAAAAAAATGAGTCCGGCCCTATTTACAGTTTAATTAACTTAAGTATCATTACTAGTAGTTAATATAAAATTTGGTACGAATTTAGAGTTTTTTTTATTAATTTCGGTAATTACTTTATATTATTGCTTAAGTCAAAATAAATACTAAAAAAGAAAAAAAATTAGTTCGGCCTTAATTTTAGTTTGATTCATAGTAATATCACTCCCAGTAGCTAAAATAAAATTTATAACGAAGTTAGCATATTTTTAGTTGCTTTTTGCATTTTCTAGTTAAAATTGGGAAAATTAGCAACTAGTTGTCAAAATTGGATTTTAGGTTCAAAAATTGGTGAAAAATTCCAGAAAGTTATATTTTAGTTCTTACAAGTTTATGGTTCCAGAATATAATTTTTGTTTAATTTTTTCTATCATACTTGTTTAATTCCTTGTTAATGTTGAATTTAATCATTATATTGTTAATTGCAAAAATGATGATGAGTAGCTAAATTTGTTAGGGCATGAATTGAGAAAAGGAATATGGATTGACTTGTTGACCTAAAATTAGGGGTTAAGATTAATAAATTGGACTAGTTGTTTAAAATGATGAAATAGTAATTAATAATAGTTAGCCATATTCATTAATTAAATTCTTGGAAAATTAATTCTAACTTGTCTATGAGATTAGAAATTAATTTGAGCCAACCATATTTGAGCACATTAATAAGGCCTAGAAATAGGATAATTTAATGAAAAGGATTTACATCTTGTCTATGAGAAATAAATTCAATTGCTAAAATAAAGAGTTTAACTAGTTAATGAATTTGGCTATTTTTATTAATTAAAATATTGGAAAATTATTTCTACCTTGTCTATGGGTTTAGAAAATAATTTAAGCCAACCATTTTAAACACATTAATGATACCTAGAAATAGGATAAATTAATGAAGATAGTTTCTATTCTTGTCTATGAGGAAAGAAATTATTAGTCCAACTTTAGTCTTAATTTCCCTAATTAAGAGGTCCAAGAACATATCCATTTCTAATTACTCAATTCATTGCCCTTATTTGCATCCTTGCATATTCAATCTTTATACATTAATCTTTAAATCGCACTTTGCTCCTAGTTATAATTTAGCATAATATAGAACAAAATCACTTTCCTATATTGAAAAAGCTTCCAACGATTAGCGATAGCCCGTGACTAAAATTAAATTAAGAAACTTCTCCGCCATTCCTCAAGAGACACGACACTCGGGGAAAAACCGAAAGGTTATACTCCGTTTTACTACAACGCCGCGAAAGCGGTTATCAAATGGCGCCGTTGCCGGGGAATGGCACGATTATTTCTTGATTTAGTTCTAGCATAGGTGAATTCTAGTTAGGGAGACTTTTTCGCCCTTGCGACAATTTGTATAAAGATTTCAGGATAAATGAATGCACACCCGCTCTAAAGGAGTGGAAGGTCTAATTGAACTTGATCCTGAACCTGAACGAACTTTGTGGAAAAACCTTTCAATCCACAAGAAACCAAGCATGGCGGGAGAAAGGACGGTGTTGCAAAATCTTACGCCAAACTTCATCGAGGATGATAGTATCAGCGCACCGGCAATCGAGGCAGCCAATTTCGAGATCAAACCCGCCATTGTCAACATGATGTCCAACCATCAATTTGGCGGGTCCAAGCAAGATGACCCTAGGGCCCACATGTTGTGGTTCACCCGAGCATGCCAAACGTTCCGCTTTAACGGAGTGACCTCCGACGCCGCAAAGTTGACCCTATTTCCCTTCTCATTACGGGATAGGGCATCTTTGTGGTTGAATAGCTTTCCAACGGGTCACTTCACAACATGGGCGGCACTGCACCAAGCATTCATGCAAGAATACTTTCCTCCATCGGCAGTTGCTAAAATTAAAACAGCAATCCAAAATTTTAGGCAATTCCCGATGGAGTCCTTAAGTGAAGCATGGGATCGTTTCAAGGATATGAGAAACAAATGTCCACTCACACTGATGGATTCTAGTAGCTTGATGTTCCATTTTTACAATGGACTTCAAGTTAGTAGCAAAAAAGAACTTGATTTCTCTTCTCAGGTGGGATCATTCCTTGACATGGCACCCAACACCAACGAAGCTCTGGTGGAGAAGGTCACTTCAAATGCAAGATACTGGTATGACGAAAGAACTCCAGCAGCAACAAAACCAGGTTATCTTGAAGTTGACCAACTCACGGCCCTAACAGCGAAGATTGAAGGGTTGGTCGTGGAAGTAAAGAATCTGAAGAATGAAAACAATCACACCAACCAAGTCAACAACATCGGTGCTGTCCCGAATCAACAATCATCCCGATACTTCGGGAACTCAAGCTCTGCTCCACAGTCATCTCAATTTAATACTTTTTCACCTGTTTCTCATTCAACTGAACTTGTACTCTCATGTGAGATATGTTTTGGTCCACATTTGACCAACTCATGTCAATTAGTCGATGAATGTAATGTAAACAACAACAGGGAAGTGAACATGCTGGAGTACGGCCGAACAAAACAAGAAGGGCCATGGGCGAATCAAGGCAACAGGGGGGGTAACTCCAACTACCCTCCTCAGAATTTTCAAGGAAGGAATTACCAAGGTAACCAATGGCGGGGGGATTACAACAATGGTCCTCCTCGCGGCGGTTATCAAGGTAATCAAAATTACTCCAACAACAATCAAGGCAACAACTTCCAAGGTCGTAACCAGGGAGGTGCATCAAGCCAACAAAACAACCAAGCTTATGTGCCTCCCCACCAACGACAAACGGAGGCTGCCCAGCCATCAGAGATAGGCTTGCTGGTAGCAGAACTGGCAAGGACACGGGAGGAAATAACAAGATACAAGGCCAGCACTGATAATCAGATCAAAAATCTGATAATGCAAATTAATCAGAACAATGTTCCCGGTCGTCAGCCAGGCAACTTGCCTAGCACCACGGAACCAAACCCCCGTGAACATGTGCAAGCCATCACTCTCCGAAGCGGGAGACAAACAACCGTGGCTGAGCAGAAAGACAAGGAAGAGGAAGGTACCCCGACCATGGAACCTAAGAAACCAACTGATGCTCCAACTGAGAAGAGCATGGAACCAACACACCCTAACACAAGGGTCACTATCGTCAAACCTTCTCTCCCGTTTCCTTCACGGGTTAGAAATGATGACGATAGCAGGAAGTACAACAAATTCCTGGACCTACTCAAACAACTCCACGTCAACCTGCCGCTGATGGATGCCCTAGCGGAGATGCCCAAATATGCCAAGTTCTTCAAGGACTTGCTGACAAACAAGAGGCAGCTGCAGGAACTCTCAGTCGTGGACTTAAACGCAGAATGCTCGGCCGTGGTTCTAAGGTCAATACCCGAAAAGCTAAAGGATCCAGGTAGTTTCACTATCCCTTGCTCTATAGACAATTTCAATTTCAATAATGCTCTAGCTGACTTAGGGGCAAGTATCAATCTGATGCCTTCCTCTATAGTCGAGAAGCTAGGACTTGGGGAAATGAAACCCACCAGGATGTGTCTTCAACTGGCTGATCGCTCAGTCAAATATCCGAAAGGAATTATTGAAGACGTCTTGGTCAAGGTTGACAAATTCATTTTCCCAGTCGACTTTGTAGTAATGGACATGGAAGAGGATAGAGAAACACCTCTTATTCTGGGAAGGCCCTTTCTGGCTACCGCCAGGGCCTTGATTGATGTCACTGATGGCTCATTAACTCTAAGAGTCGGAGATGATCTATGCACCTTCCGACTCTCAGATGTTATGAAACACCCCACAGATTCCTTTCAAGGATGTCATTTTCTTGATACCTTTGAGTCTATTGAAGGGTATCTGTTTGGGGAAGAAAATGGACATGTAACTGATGAAGCATGTCTGTTAAAAGAAGCCAACAGTGATGTGAGTGATGCATGTGAGAGTTGTGAGGATGCGCTGATTGATCAAGCTTCCAACGAAGTATTGACTGAGTTTGAGGGGGCGAAAAATGAACAAAACTTGAAAAACGACCACCCCCTCGAACTAAAGAAACTGCCCGACCACTTAGAATATGCATTCTTGGATGACGAAGGCAAATGCCCTGTCGTCATCGCCGCACACTTAAGTGAGGAACAAAGGGAGAAATTACTTGGAGTCCTTAAGACACACAAGCAAGCAATTGCTTGGAAACTTGAGGACATCAATGGAATTAGCCCCACCTTTTGTACCCACACCATCAAAATTGAGGAAGGGTTTAAACCAGTTGTCCAACCACAACGACGTTTAAACCCAAACATGATGGAAGTAGTGCGTGCTGAGATTGTCAAACTGCTGGATGCGGGTATCATTTACCCCATCTCTGATAGCCAGTGGGTAAGCCCTATTCATGTTGTCCCCAAAAAGGGGGGAATGACCGTCATGAAGAATGAAAAGGGCGAACTTCTACCCAGTCGAACTGTTACCGGGTGGCGAATGGTAATCGATTACCGCAAACTGAACGAAGCCACCCGGAAAGACCATTTTCCCCTTCCCTTCATCGATCAATTAATAGAGAGGTTGGCAGGCCATAGTCACTACTGTTTCCTGGATGGCATGAGTGGATACTTCCAAATCCATGTCAACCCGGAAGACCAAGACAAAACTACGTTTACATGCCCTTTTGGGACCTTTGCTTTTCGTAGGATGTCCTTCGGTCTCTGTAATGCCCCTGCCACCTTCATGAGGTGCATGATTGCCATTTTTGAAAAATACATTGGCCACTTCATGGAGGTATTCATGGATGACTTCTCTATTTTTGGGGAAACATTTGAAAAATGCCTTGAAAACCTGGAAAAAGTACTTATCCGCTGCAAGGAAACCCATTTAGCCCTAAGTTGGGAGAAATGTCACTTCCTTGTGAAAGAGGGTATAGTACTTGGACATAAAGTGTCAAGTAACGGGGTAGAGGTGGACCGTGCAAAAATAGAGACGATAGAGAAACTTCCTCCACCAACCACGGTAAAAGCCATCCGCAGCTTCTTAGGACACGCGGGCTTTTATCGTCGTTTCATAAAGGATTTCTCTAAAATCGCAAAACCTCTCACCCGGTTACTTGAAAAAGATGCGGTTTTTATATTCTCTGATGAATGTCACCATGCTTTCCAAGCACTTAAAACACAACTGATCAATGCTCCTGTGCTTGTGGCCCCAGATTGGAGTTTACCCTTTGAACTCATGTGTGACGCTAGTGACTTAGTAGTGGGGGCCATTCTTGGTCAAAGGAAGGACAAGAACTTCCACCCAATCTACTACGCTAGCAAAACTCTGTCAGGGCCACAACTCAACTACACTACCACTGAAAAAGAATTCCTTGCTATTGTTTGTGCTTTAGAGAAGTTTAGGACTTACATCATCCTTTCGAAGGTTATTATCTATACCGACCATTCGGCCATTAGATATCTCCTCCAAAAGCATGATGCTAAGCCTAGACTGTTACGCTGGGTTCTTTTGTTGCAGGAATTTGATATTGAAATCAGGGACCGAAAAGGGTCTGCTAATCAGGCAGCTGATCACCTCTCAAGGTTAGATGCCGAGTTAGCAGAAACTTTCGGAAAATGCGAAATTGAGGAGCTTTTTCCTGCTGAGAGATTGATGGCGATTTCCGCCAAGGAGCAAACACCGTGGTATGCCGACATTGCCAACTACCTTGTTGGTAAAGTCGAGCCTACCGAACTGACAAGGCCCATGAAAAGGCGGTTCCTATCAGAAGCAAAGCACTATTTTTGGGATGATCCATATCTATTCCGAATTTGTGCTGACCAGGTGGTGAGAAGATGTGTTACTGAAGCTGAGGCAAGGGACATTCTGGAGCATTGTCACAGCGGCCCTACTGGGGGCCATTTCTCAGGGAATAGAACCGCAAGGCGGGTTTTGGACTGTGGGTACTTCTGGCCCACGATTTTTAAAGATGCTAATGAATTTGTTTCCTCTTGTGATAACTGTCAACGAATCGGGAACATTTCTGGGCGCAATGAGATGCCCCAACACTTTATCTTACCTTGTGAGGTATTTGATGTTTGGGGCATCGACTTTGTTGGACCTTTCCCAAGCTCAAGAGGAAACAAATACATTCTTGTGGCCATTGATTATGTTTCTAAATGGGTTGAAGCCCAGGCCTGTGTCACCAACGACTCTCGAGTAGTCGTGAATTTTCTGAAAAAGCTCTTTACCAGATTTGGTGTGCCTAGGGTTTTGATCAGCGATAGAGGGACTCATTTCCACAATGATCCAATGGCCAGAATTTTGGCCAAATATGGAGTCCAACATCGAAGCGGAGTAGCGTACCACCCCCAGACTCAGGGACAAGTGGAAAACGCTAACAGGGATCTGAAGTCCATTCTGGAGAAAACGGTTGCCCAGACCAGGAAAGACTGGTCGACTAAACTTGACGACGCTCTTTGGGCATTTCGGACTGCATACAAAACCCCGATCGGAACCACACCTTTTCGCCTTGTATACGGGAAGTCTTGCCACTTACCCGTCGAACTCGAGCATAAAGCACTTTGGGCGATGAAAAATGTTTGTTTTAAACTAGATGCTGCAGGGAAGGAACGATTTTACCAGCTGAATGAACTGGAAGAATGGAGAGCGCAGGCTTTTCATAATTCCAAACTTTACAAGGAACAAGCCAAACTCTACCATGATCAACACATCAAGGCTCGTGATTTCAATGCTGGAGATAAAGTGTTGTTGTTCAACTCCCGGTTGAAGCTTTTCCCAGGAAAGCTTAAGTCAAGATGGTCCGGACCGTTCAAGGTCATAAAAGCTTACCCCTACGGAACTGTTGAGATTGAAGATGCTAATGGGGCTCCCTTTAAAGTCAACGGCCACCAACTTAAACTCTACCATGGCGGCCCGATTGAAAAAAGCAAGGAGATTCTCTATCTCCAAAAATTTTGAACCGAAGGAGGACATTCGTCAAGCTAGTGACGTTAAAGAAGCGCTCATTGGGAGGCAACCCAACCAACAAAAAAAAAAAAAAAAAAAAAAAAACTAACCCAAAAATATTTTACTTTGTTTATTTCTTGCAGATGTCTGGAGGAAGACGTGACGATCCCATTTTCGAGGAGCCACCACTAGGACGGGAAGACCCACCACCTCAGCCTGATATCCCATTTGCTACTATTGCTGATCGCAGACGCTTCCAGGCATGGGGGCAATACCGCACACTCCTTCCTCCCATGATCCTGGACCCGACGATGCTAGAGGAATGGGGGTACTGGGATGAGATTGATTCCCTGCTAGGAGACTCCTTATGGCGGAGGATTCTATTCGTTCAGGAGAGGGCCAGCCTTCCATTGACGATGGAGTTTCTGTGCTCCGTTCAGTTCACTCATTACGGACAGGCTGTGCAGGAGGGTGCTGTTATTGGGTCAGAGTCTCGGATGAGGTTTACTATTCTAGGCATAGAGCACTCCATCACTGTGGCTGAGCTCGGATGGAGGATGGGGCTCTATACTCCAGCATACACACAGACTGAGGAGTTCCGTGCTCTTCCGACCCGCTTACCCGAGGCATTTGACATTGATGAGTTCTGGCACAGACACTCCACAGACACCAGATCATTTCTCCGGATGCACCCCCATTCGAACAAATGGAGGGAGACTCACTGGTACATACTCTCGTTCGTACTTTCTTGTGGTTTTTTTGGACGACCTAACAACACGAACAGGTTGTCCAAAAAGGACATACTATTCTTTTGGAGTTTGATTCACCGCATCCCGGTGAATATGGCTGTCCTTATGGCTCGTTTCTTCCGGAGCCAGGGGAAGACTGTGCGGCGCACTATCCAGGCAGGGCCTTTCATCACTACTCTCGTTAGATCATTCTACCCAGATCTAGACATTCCAGGACTAGTGCACTTACAGGATAGCATCCGCGTTCTTCGATCCTCATCCTTTACCAACATGAGGATCAAGAAGAAGCGGAACACTCAGGAGCTCCCAGGTATTGAGCAGCCGACCCAGCAGAGTAGTTCTTCTCGACCCTCAGGACATGAGGGATCTAGCGAGCCCTTTTCATACATGCCTAGCGCCGCAGATTGGAGAGCGATGATGGATGGGATGAGGAGTCTACAGACCTCAGTCTCAGAGATGCGGGTTGCACAGGACAGAGGATTCCAGGAGATGCGAGATGCGCATGAGACGGCCCTGGGAGAGTTCAGAGACTTTCGATTAGCTCAGGAGAGAGCCACCCGGGATATGCAGGCGGAGCTAGAGACCCAGAGGCTAGATATTGATGAGATGAGAGACTGGCTTAGGCCACACTATGGCCCTCGGGATTACGCAGACGATGCTTAGTTTTGCTTCTTCCTTGACATTTGTTTATTGTGTTTGTTTGTTTCTTCAGGTGGACATTGCGCTGCTCTTTTGACTTGAATGCTCTTACAAACTGACTACGGATGATGTAAGGATTTTAAAAAAAACCATTTTACTCCTGTTTCATTATTCCTCTTCACAAAATCTTTTCAAAACTCAAGTGTGAGGAAAGAACCAAAAAAAAAAAAAAAAATAAAAAAAAAAAAAGGAAAATGTGCCTTTATTTCCCAATTTTGTGCCTCAAAAGAAGACCTCGAGGGCGAGGTCCAGCTCAAGTGTGAGGAGGTTGCGTTTTACACTCAAAAGTTAAAACCTTGTTTTAGAACAATCTTTTTACTATTTTTGACATGAAACATTAATTTCTCAATTTGTTATCAATCACAAAATAGTTTAGATAATCACCCTTATTATAAGAATTCACTTTTATTATTATTTTTAGAAAACTTAAATTTGTTATGGGTTTTTGGTTGCGAATGTAAAGGGCCGAATTTGTTTTAATTGGACATTCATTTTTTTCATAAAAAAAAATGTTACTATTAATAAACCTCTTCAAAACTCATTGTTATAGGACAATTCCATCTCCGAAAAGGGGCTCTGTTTCATTCGTTAATCACAGTCTGTGAGAATGAAATATGCATTTACCATGGGATAACACCGCCAACAAAGAGTGAAAAAGAGCAAAAAAAAAAAAAAATGGTGAACAAGATGAATGTCCAAATTAGAATAATGAAAACTTTGGGATAAGGAATTGATCGGTGGTTTAACATAATCAATAGTTTTCTTTAGTAATAATAATAGTAAATTCATATATCTTGGGTGATCTTTCTAAAATAAAAAAAATTGAGAATAAAAGAGAGGTTTTTGTTTCTACTTCTTTAATAGCTATTCGATTGTGATATAGTCAGGTTTTCCCTTTTTGAGTGTGTTTCCAACTAATTCGTCGCTTGAGGACAAGCAACGCTTAAGTGTGAGGAGATTGATAAGTCCATTTTTGTACTTATTTTTCTTATCAAATTTAAGCGATTTTTGATTGAAAATAGAAAGAAAAGGCATGTTTTAGATATTTTGGTTCAAGTTTCATGAAATCAGGTGAAAACCACATTCATCGTATGTTTGTCGGAATTTCGGGTCAATTGAGCACAAAATGAGCCAATTTGAGCAACAAATGATATCATACCGAAAGAAGGAGACATTATTTCAAGGTGGTCCAGAAGACAATATTGAAGAGCACAAAATAAGGAACAAGCCGGACAAATAATCTCAAAGGCGGCCGTGCAGGCGGCCAAAATGAAGGCCTTCGCGGCCGCCTACGGTATTTTTGGAAAGTCAAACCTTGACTTTGACCGGATTCGGAAAAGACCGTAGGCCGCCGACACTGGACGGAAGGCGGCCGCCTACGGTGACCGCCTGCGGCAGAAGACGACGAAGCAACCGCCGGCCGGTGGGATTTGACGGCAGGCGGCCAGACAGGAACGGCAGGCGGCCGCCTGCTGGACCGCCTGCGGCGGCCGGGATCCGCCGGGACCCGCCGCGATCCGATTTGCTTACGAAAAGACGGTAGGCGGCCGGTTTTCATGGAAGGCGGCCGCCCTCTGTGGCCGCCTACGGCGGACGGAGACCGGCCCACGATGGATTGCCGGCGAAAAGACGGCAGGCGGCCAGATGCCGACGGAAGGCGGCCGCCTGCTTGGGCGCCTTCGGGATTTTTTCTGCTATAAAAACCAGGCTTTTTCCTCAACCCAAACACACCACTTCCAACCCTAAATCAGTTCAAAACACCCTCTTTCTTCCTCCATTTTCGAGCTCCAAAGGGTTTAGAGAGAGAGAAACTTCAAATCTTCATATCTTCTTCATTTTAGCTCCAAATTGTAAGTTCTTTATATGTATTTTCATCTTCTCAACGAGTAGAATCTGAATCTGCACTTTGTTTGTTCAATCTGTTCTTCAAAAATTTCCAGATTATTTTTCAAGTATTTCGCATTTCCTTCCAAAAATTAAATAAAATAGTTATTGTTGTTGAATTCATTCCAATTAATTATATAGTTGTTCACTAGCCTCAAGGTAGTTATTTATCTGAAGAAATTAATTTTTCACGAAGCATAAGTAATTTTTAATTAATTTTGGTAATTAATTGATATTAGTTCATAATTTAGATTAAATACTAGAAAAAAAGAAAAAAAATGAGTCCGGCCCTATTTACAGTTTAATTAACTTAAGTATCATTACTAGTAGTTAATATAAAATTTGGTACGAATTTAGAGTTTTTTTTATTAATTTCGGTAATTACTTTATATTATTGCTTAAGTCAAAATAAATACTAAAAAAGAAAAAAAATTAGTTCGGCCTTAATTTTAGTTTGATTCATAGTAATATCACTCCCAGTAGCTAAAATAAAATTTATAACGAAGTTAGCATATTTTTAGTTGCTTTTTGCATTTTCTAGTTAAAATTGGGAAAATTAGCAACTAGTTGTCAAAATTGGATTTTAGGTTCAAAAATTGGTGAAAAATTCCAGAAAGTTATATTTTAGTTCTTACAAGTTTATGGTTCCAGAATATAATTTTTGTTTAATTTTTTCTATCATACTTGTTTAATTCCTTGTTAATGTTGAATTTAATCATTATATTGTTAATTGCAAAAATGATGATGAGTAGCTAAATTTGTTAGGGCATGAATTGAGAAAAGGAATATGGATTGACTTGTTGACCTAAAATTAGGGGTTAAGATTAATAAATTGGACTAGTTGTTTAAAATGATGAAATAGTAATTAATAATAGTTAGCCATATTCATTAATTAAATTCTTGGAAAATTAATTCTAACTTGTCTATGAGATTAGAAATTAATTTGAGCCAACCATATTTGAGCACATTAATAAGGCCTAGAAATAGGATAATTTAATGAAAAGGATTTACATCTTGTCTATGAGAAATAAATTCAATTGCTAAAATAAAGAGTTTAACTAGTTAATGAATTTGGCTATTTTTATTAATTAAAATATTGGAAAATTATTTCTACCTTGTCTATGGGTTTAGAAAATAATTTAAGCCAACCATTTTAAACACATTAATGATACCTAGAAATAGGATAAATTAATGAAGATAGTTTCTATTCTTGTCTATGAGGAAAGAAATTATTAGTCCAACTTTAGTCTTAATTTCCCTAATTAAGAGGTCCAAGAACATATCCATTTCTAATTACTCAATTCATTGCCCTTATTTGCATCCTTGCATATTCAATCTTTATACATTAATCTTTAAATCGCACTTTGCTCCTAGTTATAATTTAGCATAATATAGAACAAAATCACTTTCCTATATTGAAAAAGCTTCCAACGATTAGCGATAGCCCGTGACTAAAATTAAATTAAGAAACTTCTCCGCCATTCCTCAAGAGACACGACACTCGGGGAAAAACCGAAAGGTTATACTCCGTTTTACTACAACGCCGCGAAAGCGATTATCACGAACCATTGCCGCCACAAATTCGGTGTCTCGGTCCCATTTGTGCCGCCGCCGTCGAATCTGAAGAAGGAGATAAAAGAAGGCGGACTGTCGGGTGGAAGGAGAAGAAGAGAAGGAGGAGGGGAGACGCACCAGGGCGACAGAGGCGGCGAAGGAGGAGGCGCAGGGCGGCCGACGGGCAATGGAGGAGAGATGGCGATGGATTGTTTGGGGAGGTGGAAGGTGATGCAGAAGAGCTGTTGGCGTTGGACGAGTGTGAATCTGTGAGACGGGAGTAAATGGGCCTGTGTTGAAGACGGAAGATGGTGGGCTTGATAGACTTTCGTTATAAGTTTGGAAAAGGGTAATTCTATATACAGCCACCGTTTTACTAAGTACAGCCACATATTTTTAAAATCCCTAAAATGCCCATTTACGTGACTTCATCACATCCACGATCCACATATCCATTCACCGATGATCAAGTTCCATAGGAAGTGGTATCCTTAGCCTGCAAAAGGAGCATTATCTCCTTCCTCTGAAGCTGGGAATTTCCATTGTGGGGGAAGACTGTCTCCCCACGAAGCAAAGCTTTGATACGGAGTAATTATACAATAGGTGTGTATATTGGGGAAAGGTCTGCCCACGAATGATTCTATGAACCATTCGGCTTTGATTCTATACGGAGTAATGACAAGAAGTAAAACCTGGGCAATATTGGGGAAAGGTCTGAATTGAGAATTTGATTTGGGATGGGCTTGTTTGATTTTCATTCGGCGTTAGTTTGATTCTTGGTTAAACTTTCTAGCCTAAGCCACGAAAGGCGATAGAGATGCAGAGTATGTACTCCTGATTATTGTAATCCCAACTATCTTCTAGCTGTTTCCCAGAAAATGAAAGTGTCTTTCGTTGTCTTGGATCTTAGCCTGGATTCAAGAATGATTTTATCGATCTTGCGTATGATTGTCCAGGCTATTTCAACGATGGTCAATAATTTGCAAGGGTAATTAAGTTATTTAAATTTCTTTTATATATTAATATTAATTTTAATGGCTGTGAATAGTAATTTGGGGGCTGCCAATAGAATTACCCTTTGGAAAATGGGATTCTGGTCATAATTGTGGGTTTAGAAAGCCGAATAGGTATACGCGTGCCATTATTTCAAAGTTAAAAGGGAATTATGAATGAAGATTTCAAAAATATACTCGAAATTCCTGTTTAACTAGTGTAAAGCCCGGGGCATGCCCCGGTAGCATGTCAATTTGATATGAAATAAAATGAAAAATGCAAATAGATATTGTGAATTATTATAAAATCCAAAGGTGGATATAATAAAATTTTATTATGAACTTACCATAATCAATTACGGAGTATGAAATTGTGTTTGTTTAATAATTATATTAATTTATCAATCATTAAGGCCGTTGCGATGCGTATTACGGCAGATGCAGTGGAAATTATTTTTACGTTCAAGCGAAATAAAAAGGATAAATTAGTGTTGCCCTGGACCCCTGGTGCGGCCCAATGTATTCCGATGCGGCTCAATGTGGTCCGATGTGGCCCAATGTGGTCCCATGCGGCTTGATCAACCCATTGCGGCCACGTTGCGAATTTTTCCCGTGAACCAAAATATCTCCACCTTTGCAGCCAAAATTGCCATTGCGGCCACGTTGCGAATTTTTCCCGTGAACCAAAATATCTCCACCTTTGCAGCCAAAATTGTATCTATTTTATATTACCTTTTTCTATTTTTTATTATCTTTCTTATGTTTTTTACGCTAATATCATGCATCGATTCATGTTAGTCGACCTCAATATTTTTTGGTATTAAGATTTGTATGTTTTATCAAGTCCTATTAATTATAGCCCATCATTTAAGCACTTTGTATCTAATGAAGTGATAAAATAAGTTCGTATACTGTATCGTTCAAGTATACTTTTAGGGAGTGTTTGGTAAACGGTGTTTCAGCCGAAAAATGACGGTTTGTCCACTTTTAGCGTCTTCAAAACGTGAAGAAGCTGTTTGGTAAATGGCTGTTCGGCACTAGCATGTTTGGCCAGAAACGCTGAAATGAAAACGCTAATAGGAGAGTTTTGGGTTGGCGTTTTGAAAAATGGCGTTTTCCACTCATTTTATGGTCAAACGGCTAAATTACCAAACATCTTGTGACAATCCCCCAATTTATTCCGGTAGTCAAATTCGCTGATTGAATCCGCTATTGACAACCCGCTAACATAACCCGTTGTCCGCTAACCGCTAAATGCCAAACACACCCTTAGTGTATTGTCAATTTATGTCGTTACATATGCTTTAATTTTATCCCTTAATTCTATAATTATAACATATATTTGTGAAAACCAATACGGAGTAGTAATGAAAACGAAAAGTGATGAAGGACTATTGTTGTATGCTTACGTTTGTAAAATTTATCTGATTTAATAGCTTCTGTTTCCTCCGTTCTTTTCTCCTATTTTTTCTCTCCAACTTTTTTCTCTTATTATTTCTCTTTGTATTCTAAATAAATGTTAGGTAGTACTTCGTATAATATAATGTTTTAATTAAATCTTGTTAACCAATAAGAGAGACACGTCAGCAGTTTATAACTGGGCTTTACTATATAAAACAATAGATATTCCAATACTAAATCAACACTTTGAGTTTTTTTTAAATTATTTAGGGAAACTTGCAATTTTGATCCTGTAACTTTTTTTATAGTGCAACCTTACTCACTTACTCACTTGCAGATTTGATCATTTAACTTATTGATCAATTCTTTTTTAGAGGCTTTTACATCGATAAAGTACGCTTTCTCTCACAAAATATACTAGGGAACACATCGTCAGTGTTAAACTTTCCATGGAAGGCGTACTTTTAATGTGCCCTAGTACTTAGAAGCTGTTCTCTTCGCCTGATCTGAATGTTTCTGATCTGAATTTTTTAAGTTCTGATCTGATCTGATCTGAATTTTTCTGATCTGATCTGATCTGAATCTGTCTGATCTGATCTGATCTGATCTGAATCTTTCTGATCTGATCTGATCTGAATCTTTCTGATCTGATCTGAATGTTTCTGATCTGGTCTGATCTGATCTGAATGTTTCTGATCTGATCTGAATCCTTCTGATCTGAATCTTTCTGATCTGATCTGATTCGAATATTTCTATGATTATAATTATAATTATAATTATAATTATAATTATAATTATAATTATAATTATAATTATAATTATAATTATAATTATAATTATAATTATAATTATAATTATAATTATAATTATAATTATTATAATTTCAATTACAAATATAATTTAAATAAAATTATAATTATAATTGTAATTATAATTACAATATTTATCTCTATAATTGTAACTATAGTTATCAATATTATTATAATTACTCCGTAAAATAATTACAATAGTAATAATAATAATAATAATATTAATAATTATAATAAAAATAATAATTATAATCATAAATTATAATTATAATATAATTATAAGTATAATTATAATTATTATAAGAGATAATTGGGTGTGTATACATTTTTTAATAAGTACATTTAAGTTTGTGTTATACATTTACAAAAATAAAGTGCATAGCCTTTTAAATTATCCTAGAAGTTTATGAGTATATACATGTAAGATGTAAACACCGAAATTCATGCAATTTGATGTTATCCAAATGCATTTTTAATTATCAAACACAATTGAGCCTTGTATTTAACTCTACCGTGTTTTTATATTTGTTGATAAAGTGCTATATTCTTTAATAAAAATAATAGAGGTTATTAACTAAAAGTAACCTATTTGTTTAAGCTATATAGCCATTTCTCCCTTATTATAATTATAATTAATAATAATTATAATTATATTAACATTAATTATAATATTATAATTTAATAATAGTAATATAAATACAATTAATATTATTATAACGACATTATTATATTAATAATATTATTACAATAATATAATAATAATATGATTATTATTATAATTAGTATTATATTATTATAATATTATATTATAATTATAATCATAATTATAATTATGATTGTAATTATAATTATAATTATAATTAATTACAATTATATTTATAATTAATTATAGATATAATTATAATAATTACAATTGATTATACTTATAATTATAAGAATTATAATTGTAATTATAATTATAATTATAATTACATATAATTATAATATAATATTATAATAATATTAATCATATTATTATTATTATAATATTGTAATAATAATAATAATAGTCTTCTTAACAATTGCATTTATATTACTATTATTATATTAAAATATTATAACTATTATTAATATCTTTTTTTTATCATATTATTATTAATATTATTAATAATAATTATATAATAATAATCATAATAGTAATAAAAATATTAATAATAATAATTAATATTTAATATAATAATAAAAATGATAAATCATGTTTGAACTTTTCTGATCTGATCTGAATGTTTCTGATCTGATCTGAATGTTTCTGATCTGGTCTGATCTGATCTGAATCTTTCTGATCTGATCTGAATCTTTCTGATCTGATCTGATCTGATCTGATCTGATCTGATCTGAATTTTTCTGATCTGATCTGATCTGATCTGAATTTTTCTGATCTGATCTGATCTGATCTGAATAAAATAAGAATAAGCAATAAGTAATAAGAATAAGACGAACAGAACAGCACCTTACACGACTAAATCTGTATGTATTGTCTTTGAGACTAATTAAATTTACAATTTCCTCATTATTTTCGAATCCTGATTTCTATATTTCTATGGAAACCTGATCGCTTATTGTAGGATCAAAAGCAGCTAATGTGTTTTGACACAATAGCAGCGGATTGGAAGATGTTTATTGATATCTTATATGTAAGCAAAATGTTGAAGTGATTGAGGGTTGGTTTGCAAATGCTTTAAAAAAGGCACTTCTCAGCTTTAGGCTTAAAAAAACACTTATTTTTCTAAACATTACCAACTTTTATTTTTCTTGGCTTTCGTGTCAAAAGTGCTTTTACTTTTTCTATTACACAAAAAGCACTTATTTTATCAAACACTACTAACTTTTACTTTTCGAACTCACTTTTGTCTCAAATACTATCAACTTTTCTCAAACACTATCAACTTTTTTCTCACTCACTACCCTGAGTGGATTGAGGGTAGAACTTTTATGCGGGGACCTGCACGCAATCTTGTTGAGGCTTGTCAGAGCTGGCTGAGAAAAAAATGGGAGGTTACCATTTGCTGTATTATGAGAGAGCGAAACAGAGTGACAGATATTCTTGCTAAAATGGAAAGAAACCAGATCATGAAGTGGAGAGATTTTGAGGAACCATTGACTAAGTTGTGTAGTGCGCTGCAAGAGGACAGAATGAGCTGTAGCTGGACTAGAAGTGTGATTGTGAGAGACCTCTCTTGAGGTCTTGAGAGACCTCTCTTGAGGTCTGGGGTATCTTCCCCTCCATTAAGATCCAAAAAACGGTGCATATACTTTGTATGGGTGGGCACAGCTCGGGACGGTTCAAGACTTGGCTTATCCCGATCCGGTTATATAATAACAGTACGGTACGATTTGGAATTAGTCTTTATCCTAATGTTGTCTCATTTAAAACGGGATCGAGACAACCCAAGAAAAGTCGGGAAGGTTTAGGACGTCCCATAAAATATGCATTTGTGAAATGTGGTATAAAAATACGCATAACATCAAAATAAAGACGCATTACCAGTTTTATCACTGCTTGGAATACCAAGACCCTTTCCTATGCTGGTAGAGTTGAGTTGATTAGGTCTGTTATTCAAGATGTCCACTCTTTCTGGCTACAAGCACTCCCTATTCCGCGGGCGGTACTTGATAGAATCACCTCTATCTGTCATATCTTCCTTTGGGGGTGTAAGTATGCTAGAGTTGCGTGAGCTGACATCTGCCTCCCTAAAGAGGAAGGTGGGCTTGGTATTCATGATACCTACGTGTGGAACTCTGCCCTACTTGCTAAAACCCTTTGGGATATCCATACTAAAAAGGATAATCTCTGGGTTAGGTGGATTCATGGTGTCTACCTTAAGGGTAGAGGTGTTTGGGAGTTTACACCTCATAACAGAGACTCCCAATTGATAAAAAAGATTGTGTTGATTAGAGACCAAATTGCGTCTCATTTTGACAACACCCATGATGCCATTAGTTATCTCAATAGTTGTCAAACTAATGGCAAGCTCTCCTCGGGTTTGGTGTACAACCTTATCAGAGTTGAGGCGGGAACTCACATGTGGATGTCTTTCATTTGGAAGAATTGTATTCCCCCTAAATTCTCCTTCACGGTTTGGTTAGCTTTCCGTAACCGCCTTGCTACTCTTGATAACTTACATAGATTAGATGTTGTTAATGTTTGCCCCCTTTGTAAGGGTGGTCCGGAAATGATACCACACCTATTTTTTACTTGTGCCTTTTCAGGAAAAGTTTGGCAGAGAGTGAGGACGTGGCTGGGCATTCCTACTTCCTAGGGAGATGGGGACCATGTTAAGCTCGTTGAAATGGATCAAGAAGAAGAGACAAGGTTCGGGAATCAAAGCTAAGGCGGCTAGGATTGGCTTTTGCTATTCCATCTACTGGATTTGGAGGACCCAGAATGCTACGTGCTTTGATGGCCTTATTCCCAAAGAGGACGACGTTTTTGCTAGGATTCAATATATTGTCTATAAGATCTTGTATAGTCTTTATCCGCATAAACTTGTAATGCTTTGATTTTGCTGGGCCTAACCATCTCTCTGTTTTTTGGTTTGGCCGTTTCTTGTGGCAGCTTTTGGTTTGTTTTTTCGTGACCGCCACGCTGTGTGGTGTTGGGCGTGTGCTTGTTTTGAGTTTGTTTTGCTAGGTCTGGGTTTTCCATGTTGAAATAACCTACAGTTTTGTTTCTTTTTTTTTTTTTACATTCTGAACCCCTGTTTTCTTGGGTGTTTCTTTTAATATACTTACAGTTCATAAAAAAAGACGTAACTATTTTCACAAATTTAGCTTCCTTAAATAGTTTAGTAAAACCTCTAATTAACTACTACCTCCGTTCCTAAAAATTCTTCCCGGTTTGACTTGGCACGCCTATTAAGAAAGTGAAATAAAGTGGAAATGTGTGGTTGTGGTTGTGTGAGAAAAAGGTAAAATGAATGTGAGCCACACAAATTGTCCAAAAAGGGAAAGTGGGAAGAATTTTTGGGAACGGCCCAAAAAGGAAAGTGGGAAGTATTTTTGGGAAAGGAGGGAGTATTATTAATGATTGTCTAGTAAAAAAAATTGCCCCCCCCCCCCCCCGCATCTTGTGTTTCCTCTAGTAGAATAGTAACCCAAAATATTTTTTATACTTTGTAATACACTTGTAATTTTCAATACCACATTAAATTAAATATCACATCTATAAAGACATTATATATATTTTCTAGGAGTAGTTATTTTGGAAAATATTAAATCTATAGCATCACTATATTTTGGAGTAGTAGTTATTCCATCATAAATAACACTCTCCATGTAAGAATATATTATGGACTAGTATTGCACATATTTAGCTGAAAGCCTGAAAGTGTCTAATATAAATATAAAAGAAGTATAAGGTTAGAAAATTAAAAAAAAAATGTTGGAATGGTGGTAAACTTATAGAAAATTACGCTAAGAAGACTAAGGGTTAGAAAATTTTAATTGGGCTTGGCCATTACATAGCATTAGAAATTTAAAGTCAAATACTAATTTCAAACTAGACATCGAGACGGGACATGATATTTTATAGCTATCATGATCCCGTCGCGGTTGATATTGGTACGAGACCGGTTTGGAATGAAAAAATTACATCCTAAATGGATCGGGGTAGTTTCGGAACGGTATCAGGATTTTTCAATTTGGGACACCGGGACCGGGAATTTTGCCCACCCCTAATACTTTGTCATTTTTTTCTCTCAGCTTTGGCCCTCAAGTGTATTAGTTGAGGATGTAGTCACTAGTATGATCATCCTCGTGATTCCCACAAGTCACATTTAATAAGAACAAAAGCTAAAGATTTAGAAGGATTTGATAACCATGTTTTTCGGTTTATCAGTCTTGCCAACTAATATTTCAATAAATACGTAACTTTTGATTTCACGTGTTGAATTGTGTAATAATCAAAATAAGTAAGATTGGGATAACATTTCTCGCTGAATTGGCTGAGATTTCTAGAGTATCAATTTAGTTATTTTTTCATATATTCTTTCTTTATGTTATTAATAAAATATATTTTAAATATAATATTTTCTTAGATCAACATGGTAAACCAAGCAACCACTTCAGCCAAAATTTCATTAATTTCAGCGTAATCAGCCAATTCAATCAATTTCAATGTTGCCAAATGGGCTCTTAAATCGCCTTACCGGGTTTATCAACCATTTTTTCATCAAACACGTAACTTTTAATTTCACGCGCAGAATTGTGTAATTATAAGAATAAGTAAGGTTAAAGTTACTTTTCTGCCTTGATTGACTGAAATTACTTTAGAGGATCATTTTAGCTTCTTTTGCATATGATTTTTCTTTATTCTATTAATAAAAAATATTCTAAATATATTTTTTCATAAATAAAGAGAAGAGCCGATCCAACCACTTCAGCTAGAACTTCATAAATTTCAGCATAATCAGCCGATTCAATCAATTTCACTGTTACCCAACGGACTCTGAGAACTCCTTACATTTCATTGCCATTTTTAATATTTATATGATATGATGATTGTAAATGTTTATATATGGTATAGTCGTACAGACTATAAATAGTTTTTAAAAATGGGGGTGGACGATTCGGTTTACATTTCGGTTTTCTTCGGCTTCGGTTCGGTTTATTCAGGTTGGAAGAATTTGTACCAAATTAAAACCATTTGTGTTTCGGTTTGATTTTGGTTCGGTTTGAAGTTCGGTTTACCAAAGTGAAAAGTATTAGGTTTAATTTAGTTCGATTTGATTCGTTTCTTATGTTTTTATAATTTTATTTGATCAAGTTCTTATATTTTAGAATTAGAAAATGAAAGTAGTAGTGCGTCTCAACTTCTTTTATTGATTATTTAAATAAATTGTAAATAGAAATAAACGATAGAAAAAATAATAATTAAATATTACGTAGTATAAATTAAAACTTCTAACATCTTTTCGATCACTAGAAAAAAATGCACTTCTCATAAAAAATAAGATTATAGTACGTTGATTAGCAATTAGCATTTATAATACGGAGTATCACATAAAATATTCAAAAAAAATAAAGGAGTTGATGGTACAAATATTGCATTGTAATATTCACAATTTTATTCAAATGAATCATGTAAAAAATATAAATCCAATTTGCTATTCTTATCGCCAAACTTAACAAATACAAATAAGTCGTATGAACTAACTTTGTCATAATGAATGTATGAAATGTGTAAAAGTTAAAATGATATATGTTATATATGTATTTTCATGTCTAAATGATTTATTTATATCTTAAAAATGAAGAGTGAAAATAAATACAAAGTGTATATACATATATTTATTTATAAGTTGTTCGGTGTTCGGCTCGGTTTACGATTTTTTGGTTTTAAACCAAACCAAACCAAACCATTCGGTTTGAGCGAATTCTTACCAAACGGTTTACTTGAGTAAACCCAAACCAAACCACCAATATTCGGTTCGGTTCAGTTTGGTTAAACCAAACCATTTTGCCCGCCCCTCTTGAACCAATTTACTACATACACGGGTTAGGGCTACAATTTTATTAAATATGTCCGGCCTGTCATTAATAAATTTATAAAATCACACAAAATACCTTTAAATTTTAAGCTATACTACCTCTGTCCTTTTTATTTAGCAATATTTTATTTTTCAGACAAAGATATTATGATAATATTTTAACAAAGAACATTTTCATATTATCAATATTACTGTGTATAAATATATAATCATTCAATGTATACGTTCTTTGACTTGAAAAGTTAAATTTGACTAGATAAAAGTGGATGGAAAGAGTATATAATTTATTCCTATAATTTATAAGTTATCGATATGCTCGAGTCTAGATCGAACTGAACATGACTATGCTCGAATTCGTCTTGAATAACTATTAAAACTCAAAATCTAGCCCATGTTCGAGTTCGAAACTCGCTTATGACATACGTGTGAGAGGGTCAGGGAGTGTGAGAGCTTTGAAGCCAAAAGGCTCCTTAGTGGTCAAGATGTTTTGGCCGCTATAAAGCATTCATATAAGTTTCAACTAGTCTTCCACCCGTGCGTTGCACGGGGTGTAAGATACAAATACTATAAATCTAAAAAAAAATCATTTTACCTCTAAATCAAATTAAAGATTATATTATAATTTATCACGGGAATGAGAGTAACCATTACTAAATACATAATAAAAAATATCTGGAGTTTAATAAGCATACAATTTTACAAATTATTGAAGACTTCTTTGTAGACAACATTTTTTGCGGTCTTTTTACGATTTCCCTCGTCGTCGCATATCACGAACTTCAATCCAGACGGACTCGTCACCCTCGAAACTGCAACATATATTTGCCCATGTGTAAAAACTGGGCGTCGTAGAAAAACACCCACATTCTCTAATGATTGTCTTTGGCTCTTGTTCATCGTCATTGCATAGCTAACCATCAAGGGGAATTGCCTACGCATGAATGTGAAAGGTAGCCTCATATCTGTCGGGGTTAGACTAATCCTTGGGATAAGGAATTTCTCACCTGCATTAGTTCCAGACATCATCTGTGCTTCAATAATATGTTCACCAAGTTTTGTCACTAAAAGTCGGGTACCATTACACAAGCCGGCCGAATGGTCTATATTCCTCATGAGCATCACCGGTACACCAACTTTTAGCTTCAACTCATGACTTGGAACACCAGAACATTTTATGCCGTTAAGGAATTCGGGAGAATGAATCTCCTGAAGGAGCTCATTGTCTAAGGTTGAGGAACACGCTGAATCTGAACTGAAATATGTCTTTTCCTCTGAGCTGTTCTGCAGCAACATGAAATCATTGACCTTGTCTACCTCATCAATTGTCGGTGCAAGAATTGCTCTCCCTTCAAGATATGAGATGTTGTTCATGTTCTTCAAAAAATCTGGATAAGTAGCGTTGACAATGGATTCAATGGGATCAGACATTACTGGAACATGAAAATTTTCCGGTATATCAATTTCCGCTTCTCCATCAACGTAACGCTCCCTCCCAGAACACCATCACCAATTTGTAGTATCCCATCGGCAAAAAGCTTCAAAATACTTGGATTGGCCGTTTCATTTGTGAAGTTCTTGAGTCTCATGTTTTTTGTTAACTTCAACACCGTGCAATACTGCCACAGATGTGATGCATTCAAAGATGCAAGAACAATATCCTGTCTTGTGCCTTTAAGAATGACAGACAACACTTGTCTAAAGTCTCCACCGAAAACAATCGTTTTTCGGTTAACTAATATAGAAACATGTAATTAAGTGTCACGATTTTACATACATATATATGCTATAAGATTCTTACCATATACAGTCGGGACTCTTAACTAATATAGAAACGAAAACTGCTTTTATATAAATAAGAACATTTATTATATGGTCTAAGTCTAAAATAGAAGGTCGTTTTTTTGCATGTATATATAGAGAGTTGCATGTTTCCTTATAGAAGTGCAGGTTTCCATGCACGTTTTGATTCTAGTTTAGATATGTGATGAATATACTTACCATTTTCAAGTTTTATTCTAAAAAAAGGGTTTCTATATGATAGAGATATCTTACCATTTTTAAATATTTATCTAATAAACAAAACCTTCTTTTATTTAGTGTAGAATATACTTAATTTTATTTTAACACTCTTAAATAAAAGATGAAGCATGTAAATGTAACTATCTTTGTCCCAAAAGAAAATAACCAAATCCAAAAATGTGACCATAGTAAGTTGGATATTAAAAAAACTGAATGGTAAGTACATGGAAATGAATTAATGTAGAAATTGAAG